TTACGAACATTTTGCGACAGGAAATTGGCGACACAGATGGTAAGGTGGAAGCCTGATTGTAGAAATTGTCGAATATTTCTGGGCAAACGCCATTTTTGCCTTTTGTCCATATGTACATTTTTAGTATGGATCCTACGCACTGTTTTATAAATGAGACCCCTGGTGATTTAAACTGGTAAATACATTGGACAAAACAGTTTCATGTTAGAAAAGATGCTACTTCTAGCAGAGATGCTGTTAATTAAGGTGGCCGATGTAAAACGTGAATGTCCCTATCTAGAGCCACTGTTTGGTTTGTCTGTCCTGGGCTACTGTAGAAATATGACAATGCAACATGGCAAACTTTGTGGCCAAGGACCCGCTCCCTATGTAGATATAAACGGCTCATTCTAAGGTAACGAAAACACAAGCTCGGTCTCACTCCGTAGTCATCGAAATCTGGCGTTTGGGCATTGATTTGCGGCGACAGAAACCAATGAATAAAGTTGTCTTTTAATGTCTGCATGATACGTGGCCAGTTGCCGTTATAGTTTAATGGCGCCCGGCGGCGTCAGGGGGAAACGTGGCAGGACAAGGACGAAGGTTAAGGTGGCCAAAGTCCGAATGGGGGGTGGTGAATGGGTCCAACAAACTACGACTTTGGCCTAAGAGAGCGGTGTTCACGTCCCGTAAGATCCTAAAGCCAAACCCTGTTCTTTTTTCCTAAACCCAAACACGTGCTTTTGTTGTTGAAGGAAAAAAACGTCAGTTCGTGGCATTGTACTGACGTAGTGCTTTTATTTTGAAAGAGATTGTATGTAAACGTTAAATTTCCTGGGAAAACAGAAGTGTATTTTGAAAGAAGACAATGCATGTAACAGGCAGAACTTGACACGGCGTCCCAGAATGTCAACAACCAACATACCTGAGGTACCTTGCATGTTGTATATGGACGTGGAAAGTCCATGACCAAACATCTATATATGACGAGGTCTGAATGAGAATGTGTTGAATGAAGTAGTTACACGTTAAAAAAAGATGCCACTTGTCACAGGGGGGCTGTTAACTAAGGTGGCCAACGCAAAAATTTGAATGTCCCTATCTAGAGCCAGTATTTGGTTTGTCCATCCAGTAGACACAGTAGCTACAGTAGAAATATGGCGGTGCAACATGGCGAACTTCGCGGCCGAGGACCCACTCCCTATGTAGATATAAATGGCTCATTCTAAGGTAACGAAAACACGATTCTGGTGCCCGGTCACACTCCAAAATCGTCAAACTCCGGCACTTGGGCAGTGGCTTGCGATATCAGCAACCAACAAAAAAAGGTGTCCTTCAACATCGGCATGATGCGTTAAAGTTTAATGGCGCCCAGCGGTCTCAGGGGGAAAGTTAAGGCAGCAAAAGTACGAGTGGGTTAGGTGGGAGGGTTGGTGGATGGGTCCAACAATGCCGACTTTCACCTGAAGAGAGTGGCATTCACGTCCTGTAAGATTATAAAGCCAAACCCTGTTCTTCTTTCTAAACCTCACCACCTGCTTTTGTTGCCCAAACCCAGCTAACCTAAAGTCAACTCATGGTGTTACACAGACGTAGTGCTTTTATTTTGAAAGAGGCTAGGTAAACCTTAAATTTCCTGTGAAAAAAGAAGTGTATTTTTAAGAAGAGAACTTGACATGGCGTCCCAGAACGTCAACAACCAACGCACCCAGGGTACCGTGCATATCGTATGTGGACGTGCAAAGTCCATGACCAAACATCAATATGTGACATTTGCTAATATATAATGCTAATATAATCCCTTAAATACTACACACTGGACGTTTAAAATAAAATAAAATAAAAAATGCCGACCTCATGGTGCCACTAAAGAAAAAGTCAGTAGGATTCATCCTCTGGAGAACATAAATATCTGCAAAACATGTCATTTCAGTCCATCAAGAAGTTGTTCTATACATTGTAATCATACATCAGAAGCCAAACCTCATGTGCATTAATCTAAAGGGTCACAGTGCACTCATTAGCCAACCAATACAGATTATCCAATCAGTTATTGATATGATGGCAGGGTAGTGTTTCATCAGTGCAGACACGAGGTAATCCCAAACCCATGTCAAACCCACTGAATCGATTCGCTGCCTCCTTGTATCAGTCACACGGGTCAAACAGATTACAAACCATTTTATTTTAACCCCCTCAGCCCTGCAGTCATGGCAGCTTACGCTAATCAATGCAGGCTTTTTCTCACCCAGTAAAGAGGCTCTGGGAATATTACATAACACTCCTCCTCATCTGCTTCTGCACCGCTGCACAGCTGACAGCGCCAAGGACCCTGCTGCATACTGCATGACATAACCCTCCACACATCACACTGTCCTCCCTTCATCTGTGTTAACCCCCCTCCCTCCTCAGTGCAGCTCTGCAGCTCTCTGCCTCCCTCTCTGTTCAAAGTCACTCTTCTTTGTGACTATTTTTATGCAGAAAAAAAGCAGACATACACTCAGTTTATTTATAGTATTCGTCTTCAGGCTCTGCACCACAGTCTTGCTAAGAGTCTCATGTTTTTCCTGTGATACATCCATATCTTGCCCTCTGTCCATTCTGGATGTTATGTTCCTCATGACATAACCCTCGGCTCACAGTAAACACACTGTCCTCCCTTCATCTCTGCATGTTTATCTCTTTGTTTCCTCCTCCTGATGCGTTCTAGCCCAGCTGCCTGACTCTCTCTCAGGTCACAAAAAGGTTGTGTTGTGACATATAACAGATGCAAGCAGCCAGGATTATAAATAAGTTGTTGTGGTGTTTGATTTGGAGCTCGAGATAACTGTATTTATGTGACTTTGTGTTAGTATGTGACTCTGGATCTATTTTGGCCTGTTCCTGCCTGTCTGAGAATAAAGACAAAATGAAAAAGAAAACAAAAATAAAAACAGCTTCTTTTGTCTAGTTTATTTTTCTGTATCTGTACCTTTAGGCCTAAAGCTAACAAATAAGCTAACAATGTCAAAGCTAAGGGTAAAGCTAACTGGTGGCTACTGTTAGCTACCAACTATGTTGTTTGGGTTTTTTTTCTGTCCACACCAAATAATTTACAGGATTGTATCTAAAAACTAACAAAAACACTGACAGTAGAAAAGTTAAAGCTGTTTGGTAGACTCTGTTGGCTAATATTAACTTCTTATAATTTTCTCTCTGTTTACATAAAAAAAAAAATCAAACAAAGCGCTAGCTAAACCATTAAGTTAAAGCTAATTGGTAATGCTAATTTAAGCTAACATCTCCTTTTGTTGCCGCTTTATTTTGCACTTAACGGTGGCTACTGTTACTGATGTTAGCTGCCATCTTCATTTATTTTTTGGTTTATTTTCTGTACAACACGCCAATGAATTACAGGATTTTATCTGAAGAAGATTTACACCTTAAAGCTAACAAAAAAAGCTAACATTGGCAAAGCTCTAACTAAAGCTAATTGGTGGCTACTGTTAGCCACCATCTTGTGGTAGCCTTGTATCAACAGTTCAGGCTGCTGCTGGTGGTGTAATGGTGTGGGGGAGATTTTCTTAGTACCAAATAATTTACAGGATTTTATCTAAAAACTGACAAAAACACTGGCATGAGAAAAGCTAAAGGTATTTGGTGGACTCTGTTGGCTAAGCTAATATCAACTACTTCATTAATTTTCTGTCCACACCAAATAATTTACAGGATTTTATCAGAAGAAGATCATTAGGCTTAAAGCTAATGAATAACGAACGCTGGCAAAGCTCTAGCTAAAGCTAATTGGTGGCTACTGTAACTGACGTTAGCTGTTTATATTCTTTATTTTCAGTTTGGTTTATTTTCTGTATTCTATATTTGCTCCTCAGATGGCCCCATTTCCCAAGTTAGGAGATGTACTGTGGAAACAACATGGACGCCACTAAGAAGATGTGTTGTATTTTTTTTGCTCAGAGCATTTAAACAACATGTTGATAACAGTTTGAAGCTTTATATCTCAAAGTGATTTTGTCCTGGACTTGTTACTGCACCAGTACGTCCTCTTAAACTAGGCTACTAGCTTAAAATATTGCTTTATCTGACTAATGCTAATAAATAACTTTTGCAACTTATCTAGGTCACTATTTTTGGACAGCAATGTACAATCTAATGCCATATTACAAATTACATGTGGGCGAAAAAATTGAAATGCAATTTACTTTTGTCCACTGTCTTTTGGATGTCCACTCAGTAACTCATGTACCAAAACTTTCTCCGACTTTCTGAGTTGTTTTTGCAACTTGACGGGGTGCTCACATGAATTTTCTCAGTTGGGAACTAATTTTTCAATTATTCCGACACCACATGAATGCAACGATGCTAACATTGGCAAAGCTAATGCTAGGGAACAAGACTAAAGCTATTGGGTGGCTAATATTAGCTACCTTTGGATGGATACTGCTGTGTAATATCTGAAATTTCTCACCAACTATTAGATGGAAAGTCTTGGCTGACCTTCATGGGAGCTGCCCATTGGTCCGACAGCCCATTGGTTCGACATCCCATTGTTCCGACCATATTAAACCCACTGTTCCGAAGTCTGTTCTGAAATCATCATGATGCCCTGTGGTTAAGGTCTGGTTAGGTTTAGGCACAAAAACCACTTGGTTAGGGTCAGGAAAAGATCATGGTGTGGGTTAAAATGAAAAAGAAAGTGACAAACACATAAGCCGTGAGCCTGCTCCGCCTCAAGCCTTTCCCAGCTGATCCAGAGCTGGTCGCGGCGCACCATACTTCTGCCGCGAGCTTTTCAGCACCGCGGACAGTCGCACTAATGGGATGTTGAACCAATGGGCTGTCGGACCAATGACATGGACCTGACATTCATGACACTGATACTGACCTGATACATTAATTTATCAGTTAAGTCTTGTCGTGTGTCTATTTTCTACAGTTTCTTGTGCATCTTAAGGCTCTTGGGAGCTAGAACTATTATAAACTACATTTCCCATGTGTCACTTGCATGACACAGCACAGGTGTGCTCTGTTTGGTCTCATTGTTTAGGCTGATGAATTTCCACTGGGGTCAAACATTTGTCCTGAGGAGGATTTAGAGAGGGTTTCTGGTAAGTAGCTGTCTAAGAAAAACACTGAGTTAATTGTGTTCATATGGGCACATTAACGTTGAAGTGTTAGTATTTTACCACAATTATAGAGTTACTAACCTGCTGAATTGTCTGTGCAGTTGAACTGTAACCCTCCTTGACACAAAGCTCTTCTCAACACAGTGGGAGCAGTGTGAGACATAAACTCCCTCGCAGTGTCATGTGTTAGCCACAGGTGTTGCGGAAATGTGGTTATGCTGCAGACAAACCAAATTAACTGAACACAGTGAGAGCTGTGAATTTTCTCATCAACACCAGAAGTCAATGTGCTGTGTGGTTAGGCAAATGAAGACTCCTCTGCTCAGTGTTTTATATTTATAAATCATGGCCTTTTTACTGTGTGCAGCTTTCAAGTTCAGTGGTGTCCTTCAGTTGAGTAGAAGTATGAGAACCAAACTGTGAGATGACTCCAATACAAGCAAAAATCCTGTATTCAAAACCTAAGTTAAATAATAGTATGTAATTAGGTTTAATAAAATTATATGGAAATGAATAAGTTATTTTTTAACATTTTAATTTTCATTCATCATTGTTGAAGCCCTGAAGTGATTCACACATTTTCCAATTGTATAAATGTGAAGCCCACACACTGAATAAAATAAATGATTAACATCTCGTCAGATGTGCGTCATACGTCTACGCCTGGCACCTTTTCCTTAAATTTGCCATGTCTCAGTAGCGATGGCTAGTCTTGAGTCTCCTTATTGAGGCTATTATATTCCAAATCAAAAAAAGAAAATGTGTCAGAGTCAAATAAAGACTTTCATATTGACTGGACAGCTTTGGTTGCTTTCACTACTAAAGCTGCAAAGTTTAAGTCTGCAATAACTGTAACGTGAGGTTTCGATGTGTGGTGGTTGGGAGACAGATATTCCGTTAAGCCTCACTTTACTTTGCTGCACACTTCAGCAGCTTCACAACGCCCACATTTCCAGGTTACACTTTCTTGTGATAACTCAAATGTCTCTTAATTAACCAATCAGAAGCTAGAAAGACTTAGACTGAGGTTAATGTGTGGGAGGATTACTGAGGCGGATCCAGCAAATTTTTAGACTGTTGTAACTATGCTGCTGTGAATATTTTAGCATGTAAATAATAATTGGGAACATAACTATGTAAATAGTTAACTGTACAAACACTGTAAGTGTATTTTTAGTGAATTATTAAAACAAATGAATTAACCTAACGAACAACTTACATAATCACAAATAGCTGCACTATAGAGGAGCTACTCTGCTGTAAAACATATTAATGAATGCTAATTTAGACCTATTAGGAATATTTATAGGCTAATTTAAATTGAACAGGCCATGTTGCCATCGCTATAAGGCACAAATATGTTTTGCGGCTCCAGACAGATTTTTCTTTTTAATTTTCTTGGCCAAAACTGGCTCTTTTGATAGTAAAGGTCGCCGACCCCTGCTCTGTAAGGTCATCATATGTTTGTGGCGTGGCTGTCATGTGAGAACCATATAAAGTCATTTTGTGTCAGAAAAACAGCCCTTTTTTCAGCTTTGTGCTGATCCAAGAGGGTTTTCAATTAAAGAGTTTATTTAGCTAACAAAATGGGAGATTTTTTTTCTTCAAATCTGGCCTGTGACAGGGTGCCAGATGGCCCTCCGACCATTTTCTAATCCACAATAGAATTTAAATTAATTCACACCGCTATTTTTTATTTATTTAATTGCTGTAATTTGAAAGTAAAGTGCAAGAGTCCATAAAAACATCAAATTACAGCTTGCTTACCAAAATAAAAGTGCCAGAGGAGGATCCCTGGACCCCCAGACAGACATCTGGGCAGATTATTTATATATTACCCAGCCTACATTTGTACGTGGGGCCCTTGTAGGTTGTAAATGGGCTGAAAATGATTTGTGATATTGGGCTTTATAAATAAAATTGAATTGAATTGAATTGAATTGAAAAATGTTCCCTATATGGGACTGTACACGTGTTCCATATTGGCCCCATGCATGTGTTTGCCCAAGTGGGGCCTACATGGGTCATGCTGGGGCTACCTGGGAACAAAGTGGGTCCAAAATGGGCGTCTTATCTGGGGGCCATGTGGCATGTGGACAGATGTCATGGAGCCAATATGGAACATGTGGACAGTCCCATATAGGGCCCATTTTCAGCTTATTTACTGCCCACATAGGCCATGTTGGATGGGTATTTATTAATGTTTGGCATTTTGCAAAAGTGGCCCCCAGGCAGTGCAAGTCGAGTGTCACTGGCATCCTTCAGTCTATCACAAACATTCAGCATCAGTACAACAGGAGATACATGGTTTTCACTGGAGAGGAAGGGGTGTAAAGTAACTAAAGCTGCAGTAAAAATAACAGTATTTACCTCTGAGATGTCGTAGAGTAGAAGTATTCAGTTGCATAATAATAAAAGAATACTTAAAGTACAACCTTAAAGTACCTTGAAGCTACTTCAGAACAGTAACTGTACTTATTTACATTCCACCACTGTGACAGTGTCATTGAGGCCCTCGCTGCTGCCTGTAGGTCATCACATCTTTGATGATATTGATGTTGCCATGGTGATTCAATAAAATGTTCAGTGTTTATCACTTCCATGTTTCAGCTTATGTAATCAGCACAGCCTCACAGAGCGATAACACGCCACTGTGTGCTGTCATCAACACCGTGTGTGTGTGTGTGTGTGTGTGTGTGACTGAAGCCTCGCCCAGAGCCGATCACTCCATACGCCCCCTGCTGCTGCTGCCCCACAGGCTGCCTGCAGAGCTGAGCACGTGGCGCCCTCTGCTGGCAGGATGTGAAACAGGGACGTCTCATGTGATGCTGAGACCTTTGTTTCTGCTTTCTCTACAGGAAGGTCAGAGGTCACTGGCAGACAACACTCAAGAGCTGGCAGAGATTCAGTAGGTGTGTCTTTTTGTACTTTTATTTTGAAATGCTTCCTCCTTTTGTTCAGGGGATAATTTTCCACAACTTCTGTCTTATGACCCTTTAAATAAATCCATGATCTCTCATCAGCCTCAGCTCAGACATGACTAATGAGCAGTAGAGTCAGATAATGGAATGTAATTAAATACATTCACTCAAGTACTATAGTTAATGAATAATAACTTGAGTAATAGGCTACCTGAGTCTTTTCTTTTAATGCCACTTTATACTTCTACTCCTCCACATTTCAAAGAGAAATACTGTTCTTTTCAGTCCCACTTCATTTGTCTCTCTCTCTCTTTTGGATCTGAATATTTAAATACGTCCTCCACCACTGTGCCATTGTTTATTTTGAATAATGTATTCAGTGTTTTGTGAGAAAATGAGCAAAACTTAAACACAAACCTGCAGCAATAAACATTATTTTGTGTAACAGACATATCTGGTTAGGAGCCACTGCTGTAGGAAATAAAATGGTCTTCTTCATTATCTCCTTTGCTGCAGCGCTGATGCAGGAAAATTACAGGTTCTCACTTAAGAAGACACATTACACCGTCAACCACATCCAAACCGCTCTTCCCAAAATAAACCAGCAGCCAGATCAGAGGTACGTTTTTGTTCTTTACAATATATTATATTCTTCAAGTTTCAATTTCATTTAAAAGAAATCAGTTTTTTGCACCAAAGTGCTTCATAAAGACAGACATATATGTATCCACATACAAGAGACATACACTCACCGGCCACTTTATTAGGTACACCTGTTCGTTATGCAAATAGCTAATTAGCCAATCATGTGGCAGTAACTCAATGCATTTAGACATGTAGACATGGTGAAGACGACCTGCTGAAGTTCAAACTGAGCATCAGAATGATGAAGAAAGGTGATTTAAGTGACTTTGAACGTGGCATGGTTGTTGGTGCCAGACGGGCTGGTCTGAGTATTTACTGGGATTTTCACACACAACCATCTCTAGGGTTTACAGAGGATGGTCTGAAAAAGAGAAAATATCCAGTGAGCCAAAATGCCTTGTTGATGCCAGAGGTCAGAGGAGAATGGCCAGACTGGTTCAAGATGATAGAAAGGCAACAGGAAGTCAGATAACCACTGGGTACAACCAAGGTGTGCAGAAGACCATCTCTGAAGCAACAACACCTTGTCCAACCTTGAAGCAGATGGGCTACAGCAGCAGAAGACCACACCAGGTGCCACTCCTGTCAGCTAACAACAGGAAACTGAGGCTACAATTCACACGGGTTTTCTCACCAAAACTGGACAATAGAAGATTGGAAAAACGTTGCCTGGTCTGATGAGTCTGGATTTCTGCTGCAACATTCAGATGGTAGGGTCAGAAAGTCTATGACACCAAGAACTGAGGCAGTCCTTAAGGCAAAGGGGTCCAACCTGGTGCTAGCAAGGTGTACCTGATGAAGTGGCCAGTGAGTGTAAACATGTATAAATGAGTTAAACACAGATAAAAAATAGAAAAACAGGTCAAACATAATCAAAGAATAAGGCGGATGTGGTCTTGTTTCTTGGACCTTGTTAATAATTGGGCAGCAGCATTTTGAATTAGTTGTAAATGGGAGATAGTAGCCTGTGAAATGTGTGGTAGGGGGTTGTCGGTAGGTATTCTTTATCATATTCATCATGACACCATGTATTAGGTGAAGCATGCATGCAGTATTTGGGCTGAAATGAACTTAGTCGCAGATTTAATGACAGAAGGAAAAGAAACAGTTTTGCTTTAGAGAAACATATTTTACAGTTGTTTTGTTTTCTGGATGTCTGACAAGTCCCATCCATTAGTTTCAGCGATGTAAGCCTGTCTTTAAGTATTATTAAGCAGATTAAAACCCACTTAGTTACGATGCATCCCTCCAGCAAGTCGTCTGGCACTGCATCAAACACAAAGAAACAGACGTGGCAGAAATTCACTACAAAGAGAAAATTGGCAGTTGAGGAATTTGTTCTGTCTTCTCTGATCCACTGAATCTCACTGGGAAAGAAAAACAACTGCTGAATCCTGAAAATGTAAAAACACCTGCAGTGCTGGAATGTAACTAAGCAGATTTACTCAATTACTGTACTGACAGCTTTATTTTCTTTATAAACTACAGCACACAAGACATGTAAAAAATGTATAAGAGCAGCTGAAACGTTTCTTAAATGTGAATATTTACGTCTTTTCCTTTTAACAGTTTTAATTTGAGTAATAATATTAAAAGTTCATGGACAGGATCTTGAGGTGCAGCCGGGGGGAGGAAGGTTTCCAGTTTGGTGACCTCAGAATTAGCTTCATCACACCGTGACCTCCAGCATGCACTGGGGCAGTGTAAGTGTGAAGCAGTCGCGATGAGAGTCAGCACCTCCAAGTCTGAGGACTTGGTTCTGTGCCGGAAACAGGTGGATTGCCACTTCTGGTTCGGAGAGAGTTACTGCCTCAACCAAGGGAGTTCAAGTATCTCAGGGTCTTGTTCACGAGTGAGGGTAGAATGGAGCCTGAGATGGATAGATGGTTTGGTGCAGCTTTCGCAGAGATGCGGTCACTGCACCAGATCATTGTGGTGAAGAGGGAGCTGACCCAGAAGGCAAAGCTTTCGATTTACTGGTCCGTATACGTCCCAACACTCACCTATGGTCATGAGCTCTGGATAGTGACCAAAAGAATGAGATCACAGATACAAGCGACCAAAATGAGTTTCCTCCGTAGGGTGTCTGGGCTCAGCCTTAGAGATAGGGTGAGGAGTTCGGACATCCGGAAGGAGCTCAGAGTAGAGCTGCTGCTCCTTTGTTTTGAAAGGGATCAGTTGAGGTGGTTCAACATCTGATCAGGATCCTCCTGGGCTCCTCCTGTTGGAGGTGTTCCAGGTACCTCCCACTGGTAGGAGGCCCCGGGGCAGACCCAGAACACACTGGAGGGATTACATATCTCATCTGGCCTGGGAACGCCTTGGGGTCCCCCAGGAGGAGCTGGAAAGTGTTGCTGGGGAGAGGGACGTCTGGGGAGCTTTGCTTGGCCTGCTGCCCCTACGACCCGGCCCTGGATAAGCCAATGAAAATGGATGGATGGATGGATGGATGGATGGATGGATGGATGGACTGTTGGTTGGACAAAACAAAACATTGCGTAGGTGTCTAACTAAAGAATCAGTTAATGGAGACAGTAATAATACTTTTAATACTTAAGATACATTTTCCTGATTCATTTTCTGTACTTTTTACCTAAGTTAAGGATCTGAATTCTTCCTCCTTTCGAATGTCTCCAGTATTTTATAAGAAACAGACGTATCTGCTTAGAAGCCACTGGTTTTATACTGTGTCAACAGTACTTTCAGTGCACATGACCTGAGGGTAACTCACTCTGTTACTGCTGGTGATGGAGGCGGACGTGAGTTTGAGCTGAGAGAGACTCAGTGTTGGTGAAAGGTCACCTGATCCCACACATGGAGGGTCTCTCTGCGGAGGTGGCCCGGCGGTCAGAGACTGGAAAACGTGACCGTGGTGTTGTCCCAGGCCAGTTTTCTCCCTGGTGTTATCATCACTGGGAAAACCCCACAAACCTCCGAGCTGCGTCCCCTCATCAGCAGAACAGGAGGGCAGCTGGACACATGAGATTTCTGAGGATTGTTTTTTGTTACCCAGATTGAAGGGGGTTTCCTCTGTACGGTGGTCCTCTTTAAATAGACTACAGTGTTGACTCATAAGCTTTCATTGGTCTATACATTGTTTAGGGTTAGGTTTTTTCCCCATAAAGAGTTTTTTTGGGGGGTTGTCTACATGGCACAGGGCGTCATATATGTAAAGTGTAAAGCTGTTTTAGGCAAATTTGCTTTTCATGATTTTTGGCGATAATAAATAAGATAAAATTGACTGGACTTGATACCCAGCTTGAACACATTAGCTTACATGCTAATGTTAGCATGTCTACAGTCAATCGGTGAATAAGAAATAATATTTACCTGTATTAATTGATTTTTTTTTGGTGACTCAGTTGTTAACAAACAGTTGGTTATTTACACATCAGCACACACAGATCAACATCATCCTTCATTTAGAGCTGTTTGTTTCCATCTAATGAATCTAAGTCCAATAATTCACTCTCTTAGCTCTGTTTTTGGTCTCCGCCAACTCCTGAGGCAGCCGGGTCACTAGAGGAAAATGTTGGTATTGTGCGTTTATGCAAACCACAATTACGTTACATTTTAATGCTTCATATGTGTCATATCAATGTTTCTAAAGTGATGAAATATATAAAGTGACTTGACTTTTAAGAGGTGGAGGGGATGTTGGATGGTGTGACGCATGCCAAGCTGCAGACCACCATTTGAGACCAACACACAGCAAAACCAGTTGTGATTTAATGGGTCATTGCTGTGTTTCCAGCGGCTTTGTAGGCACAAAAAGTGTTTTTTTTTGTTTGTTTGTTTGTTTTTACTGAGACATCGCTGCAAGTTCCTGTCAGGATTGTGCCCCCCATTCCGGGTATTTGAGGCGAAAACATAATATTTTCCTAACAATAACTAGTGTTTTATTTGCCTAAAGCTACCCACATGTTAACTACAGTTTTGTTGAAATGTAAAGTTCCCATGAATCTGCTATGTAATAATGCATAAATGTAACTTGCTTGAGGGAAATATAAAACCTTTGGCCTTATAGCTACCAAATGCTGCTCACAGTGGGTTTTCTACTACACCAGACGTAGGCAACCTGCAACTCTCTCCGTTAGACTCTCTCCATTGGCCCCCTGTGGCTTTGACATAAAATGATATGTAAATGACTAACGATTATTTTTAACATTCAGATTTTTATTTGTCATTGTCGTAGGCCTAAAGTGATTATTGCATTCTTCAGTTGTAAAAATGTGCAGCTGATACATCCAACTAAAAAATGTTCTAACGTCATCAACTAAAATCTGCGTCATACGCCCAGGACCTGGTGACTTTTCCTCACTATTGACTCCAAACCCAAAACAGGAAAAGTCTTGGAGGGAAATAGAGGACACTGCAAAGTAGCCTACTGCAGAGTCACCACCTTGTAGTAAATCATATTAATGAATACTCATTTAGACATATTCATAATGTTGATGGGCTAATTTAGGCTTAATAGGCTGTTAACTTGATGCTTTTTCTTTTTTTGGCCTATTATGGTTCTTCAAATGGTAAAGGTTGCCAACCCCTGGACTGCAAATACTAGTAGGATCAGCAGGCCGTTATCAGCCCGATAATATACTGAGTGGTTAGGTTAATAAAAAAGATCTTGGTTTGTGTTGAAATAAATACTTTGTTATATAACATGACATCACATGACATCTGCTAGGGCTGCTGTGATGCACTGACGAGTCAAAGACTGAAACATTTGCTGCTGTTTTTACTCTTTATAATTTTTTTGCACTTTTTTCACCAGATATCTTTAAATAAATAAGACTATCTTTGCATTGATCTAAGCCTGTAGACCTTTTTGTGGCTTTTTAGCAGAGTTACATTGGTGTGCAGGTATCTCCTCTGCTGTCCTTACCAACACATTCTCACTCTGACCTCATCACATATCAACGTTTGGTCGTGGACTTTCCACATCCACATATGACGTGCAAGGTACCCTGGGTG